AGGCTGAGCCTCCCGACCTGGACCTGTAATTTAACAGCACACACACCATCCCATTTAGGGCATCTGATATCCCTGCTTTGCAGATACGCTGAGAGACCAGGGGAGCAATCAGAGACCTGGCTTGAGCATCCTTGTGAGGCATGGAGGGGCATGGAGCAGGGAGGTCACTGCTGTTTGGGCAGCAGGGAACACCTGGGCACTGGCTGGACCCCTGGGCAGGACTGCAGTGGTAGAACACGGCGTGATGGGTCTCTTCCAACACAAACCAGGCTGGGATTCCGAGTGTGCTGGGACACTCGGTGCATTCCCTGCCGATGCCACCGCCCCGGTGAGACTGGAGGAATGAGAGCGGCAGAGGGAGGAACTGGTTCAGCAAACAGGTCCTTCCTGGGGACCTGCCCATGTCAGGGCCTGGACGTGACTCAGGAGGGTTGGGCAGAGCCGAGGTGCAGCAGGGCAGGGGGTGAAGGGCATGGCCCCCTTCCCATCACCCGCGGGCTCACACCACGGCTCTGCCCCCAGAGATCCCACAGGTGCCCCCATAATCCCACCTCTGGCTCTTCCCAGCTCCGTGTGGCTGCAGCCTCTCTGCGGCACTGATGGACCAGAGCACAGGACCACGGAGGGGTTGCTGTGCTGAGCAGCCTGACCTGAGGGGGACTTTTGGCTGCCAGCGCTGTGGGAAGCAGGGCTGCCCTGTCCCTTCCCCAGCTCTGCCCTTCAGTTGCTTTGCAACCGCGGGCTGGGCAGGTCACAGCTCCGTGCTTTATTTACCCGATAGCCTTATGGCAATATTTGTTCAGGGCCTTGGGATCTGCGCGAGGGACCACAGGAACCTTCTCCTATTGCACACTGGCTCCTGAGGTCTTGTGCTTCAACCCTCTGCCAAGGTCACGGAGTGCAAAAGTCCTTTTGCATTGTGTCTGGGGCTTCTTTGCTCAGCACGGAGCAACTCACCGCTCTGGAGCCCCGCAAGGGATGCACAGCCTGGGCCATCAGTGCTACCGAGCTGACATTCAGCCCCAAAGCAGCTCCTGCTCCTACCAAAGGAGAAAAGAGAGACATTAAACCATGTACAAAACTATCCTGAATTCAGTGAAGTTTATTGTCCAGTCTTGGCCTCAGAGCATTCACAACACAAGTGGAATATCAGCCTCAGCAATAAAATAAGCACATCCACAAAATAGTCCAGGTCACATCTGAAATACAAAAGTTGAAATAGAAAACATTCAGACACAAGATGGAGAGATGGATATAATCTTTTATTATTTTTTTAACATTTTTTGTACCTTTCCATTCATTCCAGAAAAACCTTCCTCTCTCTCTATATATATATATAAAAAATCATCGCTTCTTTTGGAATAAATCTTTAAAATCATTTCTTTTTAAAACGCATCTTCCGTTTGCCCCACACTACTTAAATATATTATTGGCATTCTGCAGATGGATCACACCAGAGAACATTCACAGTATGCGCGTCCCGGCTGCTCGGCTCTGCTATTCCTGCTGCAGGACAAGCGTGATGCTGAGCATGGAAGGCGGCGGCAGTGAAGGCTCCACAGAGCGGGTATCACGGTGTCTGTGCCCAGACGCAACAGCAGGAAGCACAAAGGGGACATCCAAGGGAGCGCACGGGGACAGGCAGTGAGACCACACCACTTCCAACCTTGTGGATTTCAGGATCAAGCCCTGACAGCCCCGGCAGGACCCGCTCCGCCACCGCTGGCTCCATGCTCCGAGCCAGCTCCATGCAGGACACCACATACGCGCTGGTGGAAGTGGAGCGGGGCTCCATAGAGCCAGGCAGGTTCCCAAACCAAGACATCTGAGCCTGGGAAAACGGCCTTCCAATGGCTTTCATTATTTCCCTCTCATCATGTGTAAAGGGAAAGGAAAAAAAACACTTATTTTGTCCCTAGTCTCCAAGATACGATGTGGTTTTGCTATTTAAAGTCCTAAATAGATCTGGCACCGCATTGGCCAGGAAAGGCGTGTGCATGCGTGCATGGAGAGGGTGAGATTAAACAGCTCTGCCTCTTTATTGCTGTCCTGTAACACTGACCTTGCTTCACACATGCCATTACTTACATTTCTTGAGCTAGCTATCAGCTGGAGAGGTGACAGAACAGGGCCTTTCGTGAGGGACCAGCCAAAAACTCCATTTTCCACCAGAACCGGTAACAAAACCCCATATTTGCAAGAAAAATGTCTGGAAAGACAAAACAACAGTTTTCTTTTGTCAAAGCTCCAGGATGGGGGAACCCATGGAATGAAAGAAACGCCGGAGAGCCACAGCCATTCCCAGCATCTTCATTAATGCTGCTGTAAGCATCCAGCTGGGGAAAGCCTGCCCGGGATGAGCTGCTGGAGCAGGCAGGGAACGAAGCCATCCCAGCCCCACCATATGGGGCTGCCCTTGCAAGCAGCGGGAGCAGAGCTCAGGGGTTCTGAGACGGGAGCATCACAAACGGGTTGGAAAAGCCCTTTAGGATCATCCAGTGCAACCGTTCCCAGCACTGCCAAGGCCACCTCTGCCCCATGGCACTGAGGCCTCGTCTCCACGCTGTGTGAGCACTTGCAGGGACGGTGCCTGCAGCCCTGCCCTGGGCAGCCTGTTCCAATGCCTGAGCACCCTCTGGGGCAGGAATTGTTCCTCAGCTCCATCTGAACCTGCCCTGGGGCAGCTTGAGGCCGTTTCCTCTTGTCCCATCCCTTGTTCCTTGGGAGCAGAGCCCAGCCCCTCCTGGCTCCATCCCCGTGTCAGGCAGTTGTAGTGCCCAGCACAGGGGGTTATTACTTCCTTAATCCAAGAGATGCCCACCCTCACAATCCCTGTCAGACCCATGGTCCTCAGGGGACCTACACAAGCAAGGGCAGCAGCGACAGGAGCTCAACTCGCTCGGCGGGACACCAAATATTGACACACAGGAACCAAACACCCACTGAATGCGGTGGAACAAAAGGGGTTATCTTGTATTTGGGCTGTCAGTAGCTCACAGGGCTAATAAATATTAGTGTTTCCTTTGAGGAGGATTTGTACGGGGAAAGGCAAAGGCTATGAAGAACAAACAGCAGCTGAGAGGCTCTTTGTCTTTGCCATCTGACCCCGGGCAAGGCAGGTCTGTCTACATGACCATTGCTAGGCTTTCCCCCGGGAGGTGACCTTGACCTTCAGGACTCTCCCTCTTCTGGGGTTAGAGCTGAGCCTGCAGGGGTGGTGATGTGCTGTGCTGTGCCCCCCTCCTCCCCGTGACAGCCCCAGCAAGAGGCAATCTCTGTGCACGGGGACGGCAACGCCAAGCAAGAAACCCACACAGAGACAGGTCACACATCCAGGATGAGCTTCTCCAGGCTGTGTGGAGGGGGTTCCTGCTCCCCCTGCTCTGATCGGTGCTGTATCCCCCAGGCACAGCACGCTCTGCACCCCATGGACCTGCGCAGAGGACGCTGTACCCGTGAGCCTGCCTGCTGAGCTCCTTCCTGCTGGGAGCTGCCCTGGGAAGAGCGTGTCTGCACCACAGACCCCTGCCCTCCAAGGAAACGCCTGTGTGAAGGAACAGATGACAATGGGAGGGTTGAGGCTGCCCCCTCCCTTTGTGAAGCTCCCCACTGCAAAGCCCCATGGAGCAGGAGCCGGGGGCAGGCACCAGGCACTCACTCCCCTGCCATGGGGGTGAAGTGCGTCACTGGAGGCTGCTCATGCTCTTCCCTATCAACTGGAAACAATTAATGAACTATTCAGCCTGAGCTGCGCTGGACACGGCGAGAGGAACGGAGCAGGGATGGGCAAACCTCAAACAATGCAGACGTCTGGATGCTTGTCTAGGACAAACCCGAACGAACAGCCTTGGCTGGACCGGGGATGGGGGGTGTCAGAGGGTGCAGCAAGCACTGCCACGGGGAGGAGCCGCCCCCGAAGCTTTGGGGACCTCCAGGGTCTCCACGTTCATCCTCACACTTTGCATTTTCCAAGGATCCCAGGACAAACGACACGGAGCAGAGTGGAAAACAGCCCTCGCCCCCTGGGAACGGGGCAGGAGAGCGTGACGGATGAAGGCATCGGCATGTCCTGCCAGTCCCAGCGCCAGGTGATGGTCACAGCACCTGCCAAGTCCCGAGTGTCCTGTCCACGTCCATGGCTGGAGGCTGGAGGTGGGCGAGAGGACCAGCGAGCAGAGCAGGGTGTGGGTATTATACAGCGGGGAGACGACGCTCACACACTCGCAGACGTTTGAGGCTGTTTGCGGGCTGCGGGGGAGAGGTGCAGCAGGGGCCTCTTCACTCGGGATGGATTTGGCACATTCCCGAAGCACCGAGGGGAGGACACACCAGGAGCAGTCCTCGGCCAGCAAAGCCCGTTCATACCTAAGCGCACATCCCGGTCACACAGCATCAGTCTGAGTCAGGGCTGGTACGATCTGGTGCTGGCTGCAAACATAGAGGCCAGGCAGAGAGGTTTGAGGGAGGATTTGCTTCTCTGCGGGTCTATTTCTGGTACCCACAGCTGAGCTGTGGGAGGGTTGGCACCTCTCCCCCCTTCCTCTGGGTAGAGCCGCACTGAGGTGGGTGTGTGCAACACGCTGCTGTGCAGAGGATGCTCAGCACGGGGGGAGATGCTGGCTGGGAGCCGTGTCCTGCCCCTCGTGACGCTGGCACAGAGGGTGCTGGGGCAGCAGGATCCGAGAGGAAGGGGCTGTTCCATCGGTGCCTGGGGAAGGGCTGGATGAAGGCCTTGGAGGCAGCACAGAGCCAACATCAGGCTCCACTTCTGCGCAGCCCCACCACCAGGTATCTGCTCCGCAGGCAGGATAAGCCAGGCCTGGCTCTCACAGGTCAGGACATCCCTGGGGAGCATCCAGCTGACTGAATTTGGGAACACAATGGAGGGGGAGATGCTGGGGAAGCAGGGGGAAGCCCCCCCCCCAGCTGCTCCATCCTTGTCAGGATTCAGGTGCAAAAGATGGGGAGAGAAAAAGGGATTCTAGACAGGCAAGGGCAAATAAGGGAGGGCTGCCCTGTGTTTTGTGCTTCACGTGCAGGTCACGTCTGATGGGGGTAACATGACAACAAGAGGGGAGAAAGGCAACAGGTCCCTCAACAGCAGCTATTAGGGGCTGTGGTGGTGGGGACAGGCAGGGGAGAGCCTAAGGCCAAGGGCGCTTCAGCATGGTCCTGCTGGAGTCAGTAACTGCGGTGGTCGGGTGGGAGCTGCCGTCTCCTTTCTCAGTGCTCTGATCTCCATGGTGACGAGGGGAACACGAGATCCAAGTTTAAAATATACTCTGCCTCCTGTTCTTCCCTCGGGCTGAGGAAGAGAGAGAAAGATGGGTCAGAGAGGTCAGATGGGGAGCAGCACTTTGCAGAGGAGGTTACGAGCCCCCAGTCCTGGAGGAGGGAGCGGTGTCTCAGGACACAGAGATGAGACTTTGGTACCATGGTAAATGACAAGCAAGGATGCCCCGGGGGTGATTTATGGACTAAAGCAGGAAGCAGGAGGAGGTTTGGCTTTTTCCTATGTGGGACCCACTGAGATCCACCCCAGTGCACCCACGGCACCACGTGGGGTCAGGACGCTTCTCCCCAGTCCTACCTGACTGCTGAAAGGCTGAGCCTCGGTAGCCAGGGTCCTTCTGAAGCTGGATCTCCTTCAGGGAGAAGATGGAGGCATCTGGCGGGGGGGGGCACACAGAGACGGGTCAGTCCAAGAGGGACAGCGGTGCCCCGGTGCCCTGCACCTCACTGGAGCTGCTCCCTCACGCTCATCGCTCCCATCCCACCCAAAATGCTTCCTGCTCCCGCAGCCCCCACACTCCCCCCCAGCCCGGGTGAGCAGAGACGAGAGGCAGCGGCCACAGCTGCGGCCCCCCGGGGCTCCACGTGCACTTACTGTCGGGCAGGAGGTGCACCCGCTCCCCCAGGCTCTTGAAGTACGGGTGCCGCAGGGCTGCCTCCGCCGAGATCCGGCCCTTGGCTTTGTACTGCACACAGGGAAAGGCGGTTACGGAGCGGCTGCCCGCGGGAGCTGCACCGAGGCACACGCACGCACCGGGGGGCACAGAGCACCCACACGCATGGGAGCGCCCAAGCAGCACGATGCATGCGGGTGACCGTGGGTCCGAGCACTGCACGCACCATGAAGGCAGCTCCCAGTGCTGCTTGCGCGGGCGCAGGGCACGGCACGAGCTGTGTGAGCACAGCGGGGCACTGCCCATGTTGTACCTTATGGAGCATCAGGTTCGTGCCCTCTCACTCGCGTTGGAGAGGACACGGTGTAAAGGTTGGTTCTCTGTCCTTAATGGGAGGTGGTTATAGCATCCCATTAAGGTTATAGGCTATAGCCTTATACAAGGCTATAGCTGTAGGGCCATGGCTTATTCTGCAGTCACAGCCCCTCTCCTGCCTGGCTCCAGAATCCCTTTGCCATCCTCATGGGGGGTGCCCTACCACTCACCAAAAGGAGGTTCATCAGCAAGTCAATGCCTTCCGAGTCCAGCCTGAGAGAAGGAGGAAATAAAGAACGGAGCATTACTGCACCCAGGAGACACTGCAGTGGTCACCGCAAGGGACAAGTGGCACCGGGACCTCCGCGCACAGCTGCATTAGAAGCTGCCACCCCCACAAGGAGCAAATGAAACTGGTGCTCCCCAGCCGGCACAACCCCGCCTCCTGCCCCCCATGTCCCTGCTCAAGGAGGTACCTCGGGGCGTGATTTATTAACGGCTGCGCTCGGTACTGTGTGAAACCGTACGCCTTGAACTCCTCGTTGGACGTTATCCCGGGCCAGGTCTCTTCCGTCGGGGTTCCTGGCGGGGGGAAGACACGGAAACGGGGCCACGGTTGCGCGGTGCGGGGAGCAGCGCCCGGCGCAGCGGCTGAGAGAGGCAGGAGCCGCCCCGCACCCGGCCCGGGCGGACCCCGCTCTGCCCCCGCCGCCGTCCCGCGGTCCCGCACTGCCCTCCCGTGGCCGTTTGCGGGCACAGCACGAGGCGGGCCTCACCCAGCAGCCTGAAGATGAGGTGCAGCTCCTCCTTCACGGTGGAGCCGGGGAACATGGGCCGCCCGGTGACCATCTCGTAGTGGATGCACCCAACGCCCCTAAAGCGGCAGCAGAGACCCTGGCATGAGGGATGGAGGAGCCCTGGGGGCACCCCCCTACCCCTTGGCCAGGGCTGAGGTTGAGGTTCCGGGAGAGGGAAACGAGCTCCAGGAGCTGCGTCCCCCCCTCTGCTACAGGAAACCGTTCACCCCGATGTGGCTCCAAAGGGCTGAGCCCAGGGGACACGGAACCAGAGTGATCCCAGCACCCTCCGGTGTAGCCAGCGCTGGGCATGTACAATACTGAGGTGGAAATGCCCAGCCCAGCAGCTCAGAGGGCTCAGGGAGCTGGGGCTGGAGCTCACCACATGTCGATGGGGGTGGAATACTCGGTAGATCCCAGCAGGACATCGGGGGGCCGGTACCACAGCGTGACCACCTCGTTGGAATAGGTTTTTGTAGGGACTGACTTGGCTCTGGCTAGTCCTGAGGGCGAAAGGGACGGGCGTTGAGGAGCTGCACCTCTTGGCAATGCTGCACCCTCCCCAGCGAGCTCCACTCACCGAAGTCAGCCAGCTTGAGCTCCCCTCTCTCGTTGATGAGTAGGTTCTGGGGTTTGAGGTCTCGGTGCAGGATCTTCCTCCCATGACAATAAGCCAGACCCCGCAGCAGCTGGAACATGAAGATCTGTGGGGAGGAGAAGGGGTTTGCATTTAGCATGGTGACACAGGCACCAAAGTGAGTCTGCTCATGGGAGGAAAGCCCCCTCGAAGCTGGCCTGGGGTGGGATGCGCTACAGGCAAGTGTTCAGGCCCATCACCAGGGGACGAACAACGTCTGCATGCACAGTACTTCTATGGAGGGTGGCAGCGAGGGGAGCAATGCTGGTGGAGCATCACAATAACAAGAATGAAGCGCACAGAGAAGGGGTCCAGGCTCACGCAGCCCCCAGCACCACGCTCCCCTGAGCTCCCCACACGCAGACATCCCCGTCCTACCTTCACGTTGTGCACGCTCATCAGGTTCCCGCAGTTATCGAGGTACTGCTTGAGGTCGTTGTCCTGCAACAGGAGGCACACGTCAGCCTCTCCTGCCCCGACCCGCAGCCGTCCCCCCGTTCCCACACAAAGCCCCCCCAGACCCACCAGGTACTCGAAGACGAGGGTGAGGGACCGCTCCGTGTGGATGATGTCGTGCAGGGTGACGATGTTGGCGTGCTTCAGGTTCTTCAGCAGTGACACTGCAGGGAGAGGACATGGCAGGATGGGGCAGCAGGCCCTGGGGCTGCCCTGTGTGACTGCACCGGTCACCCCACACCAGCCATCCCAAAGCCATCCACGACCTAGCACTGCATCCTGCGATGGGGAAAGCCCCTCCTGGCCTCACCTTCCCGTATGGCCGTGCAAGGTGCCCCTTCCTCGTGCTCCAAGCGGATTTCCTTCAGGGCAACGAGGTTCTCGGTCAGCTTGCTGCGCCCCTTGAAGACAGTGGCGTAAGTGCCCTGGGTGGGGAGAGAGAAAGCACAAGCCCTGCAGAGCATTGACCAATGGCACCACACTGGTGTGCTCCGTAACACTTGGAGGGAGGATCACTTGAAGCAACAGCCAAGTTGGAAGGCCACAGAAAGACATTCTAGGAATTGCTAGGGCATTGAGGGAATTTGGCTACAGTCTGCCTTTCTAAATTCAAATCCATACAGGGCGTTCAGGCTCTACTCACCTCTCCCAGTTTGTCCAGTTTAACATAGGTTTCCAGCTTCCCAAACCCAATATCTGACTGCAAGAGAGAAAGGAAAACATCACTGGGAGGGACCACGGATGCACCAGCATCAGGCTGCACGACTGCCCCTTCCCCCTGCAGCTCCCTTCTCCTCTCAGCCACCTCCCTGCCACACCACCGCCTTTCCTCGAGTGCTTTCCTATACCCTGGTCTTTACCAGGACTCTGCTCATTGTGTGCTGGTCAAATGGAGCGTGAAAGGGACATTTCCCCTTTGGAACTGGAACTCTTTTGGGCACTGCTGAGACCTGCTCCCAGTGAAAGAGGGCAACAGGCCACAGGTTTAGGTGCTGCTCCTTGCTGCTTTCTGTGGGAACAGAGACACCTCTTTGGTTAGTCTGGAATATAAAGTCATGGAATGGTGTGGGCCGGAAAGGACCTTAACATCATCCGGTTCCAACCCCTGCCATGGACCTCTCTGGGCCGGGTAGGCGATGGCTCCCAAGGCAAATCACTGCCATGCCTTTCACCATCACCAGATGGAGCTGAACGGACAGCGCTCAGTCAGCAGGGGCTCTGCAGGGAAGGGAGGCACTGAAGGAGCCCCTGCGCTGTGCCCAGGGCCCTGCCTGCAGAACCAGCAGCCCCAGGGGTTGGATGCTCTCACAGCATCACCTCTGTTCCCCAGCTCTGCCGCACGGGAGGGCTTTTCCTTGCCACAGGCTCTGCCCAGACCACGGAGCTCTCACAAGCTGCTCACGCAGCAGGGATGCTGCTTTCCTGCTCACACAGGCTGCATCTGGACCAGCAAATCCCAGGGGAACAGAGCGGATCTCTTTATTCCATGTTGGCTTCCCCAAACCCTCTGCAACAGCCGGGTCCTGAGCAGGGAACTGAAGTGGCTGCTGCAACCAGAGGTGCTGTGCACACCCCAGAGCCATGAGTTTTGCAAGACCATGCCTCATTCATGGAGGGGACCATGGGTATTGAGGGCACGTTGCTCTGGCTGTGTCTGGTTTACTGATGAGACAGAACAGGCAGGTAAATGCGGGCTCTCCTTTCCTCCTCCCTCCCCTGAAAAGGCACGTCAGATCTGAACAGCCCTGCTGAGACCTCGCTGTTGTCTCTGTACAGCACTGAGCACCCCTGGGCAGCAGGACACGCGCCTGCACCGGTGTAAATAGGGCAGCAGGTTTTTACTCCACGTGCTGATGCTCTGCAGTAAAGAAACAGATGCCAACATTAATGCAAAGATAATTCATTATTTATCGGCATCTGCATTTCAAGCAGCAGCGGCTCCAGCACCGGAGGTTTTCCACCTCCTCCCATCTGGAAGGAGCCAGGCCAAGAGGCAGGGCAGGGACGTGCAGAGGTGAGTGAAGGGATCTGCACAGCAGAGATGCAAGTGTGCACGGTGGGGGAATGTGCGCTGAAAGGGGTTTGCATGGGCAGAGATGCGTGTGTCAAAGGCACGGGGAGCTCGCACAGTGGGGCACTGCGTGGGCTGGGGGCACTCAGCTGGCGGGGGCTGCGTGCGTGCCCTGGCTGCGGTGACACTTACGAGGGAAGCCCGCCGGGACATCCTGCTGAGGGGCTTGGGGAACTCCGGGCTCTCCATCTGCAGCTTCTGCAGGAACTCGGGGGGCAGGCGGATGTCCATGGGCAGGGAGAGGCGCTTGCTGACATCCTGCAGGGAGGGACGGAGCAGCAGGGCATGAATGCACCGCATGACAGCACTGGACAGGGATGTTCTTCACTATGAGGGTGCTGAGGCGCTGGCACAGGGTGCCCAGAGAAGCTGTGGCTGCCCCATCCCTGGCAGGGTTCAAGGCCAGGTTGGACACAGGGGCTTGGAGCAAGCTGCTCCAGTGGAAGGGGTCCCTGCCCGTGGCAGGAACTGGAGCTGGAGGAGCTTTGAGGTCCCTTCAACCCAAACCATTTGGTGATGCAGGAAGAAATGCTCTCTAAATAGAGCTAGTCTTAGCAATGGGGGCAGCATCTGTGGGACCCTCAGGCAAATTAAAAGGGGAAGGGGAGGCGTGCACAGGGATGTGCACTGGGCTCTGTCAGGTACCATGGGTATCATGCCCAGTGCATCCAAGAGGACGCCAGGGCTCAGGTCCCCATGGGTCAAGCCCCCTCTCCCAGCCAGCAGGATGGTGACAACCAGCACCCGCCGCATCCCTCCTGCCCGCCCCGTCCCTCCAGAACCTGCCTCCATGGAGAAGCGGCGCTGGGTGCTGCTGCGGTAGCGCACGGCCATCGGGGTCTGGCCTTCCCCCTCGGATGGGGAGATGGGGCTGGTGTCTGCTCGGAAGTCCCGGCCAAGGTGTCCCAGCTGCAGGTGCCCTTGAGCCAGGTCTGGGGACAAAGAGAAAGGAGAGTGAGCAGAAGGGCCAAGGCCAAGGCACTGCGTTGGAGAAAAGAGAGCGAGAGCAGGCAGGGATGCTCTGGGGCCATGGGAAAGCCTCCTCCCTTCTCTGTACCCAGGAGGCACAGGGAATACCTGCTCTTTGCTGCAGCCTCCTGAGCATCACCACGCACACAGCACCCCTCATGCGGCCCCTTGCAATGAGGGTCCCTTCTGGCAGACAGGGAGGAGGATGCAGAGACAGGAACCGCTTCATACCCAAGGCCACGCAGATGTCCCATGTCCCAGCCCAGCGCTCAAAGCATCACCGCAGGGCTGAGTGTTCATCTGAACCTCCTATTACCTTCACTATCATCACGTTAGACAAACCACGACCTGCCCTTTGGAACCCCTCCCTAGCTCTGTGCTAGGTCTGTATGAAAGCACCCCAGGAAGAGAGCCCTGCCTCTGGGGAAACACTCGAGGCTTTCCTGCCGCAACCCTGAGAGCACAAAAGCCCTCTTGGAAACCCAAGCAGCTCAGAGAAACATCTCTTCCCCAGGGTCCCCAGGCTTGAGGCCTCACTGAGCCCAAGACACCCTCAAGAGAGCAAGAAACGAGGCCCTTGTCCACAGCCCCTCTCCAGGCTTCTTGTGATGCCCCAGTTTGTGCCTTGGAGCCCTGCCCCTCGCCAAGCCCTCCCCCGGGCTGCACAGACTCCCCTGCCCTGCCTAATGCATGTGCTGAGGCAGCCAGGGATGAGCTCATTGCTGGAGGCTGCTTGTCACGGGGCGCTGAGCAGGGCTGGGACCTGGCTGCAGTTTGCTCAGCTGATGGATGAGAGGTGGCAGGCAAGTGACCTGGGAAGAGGCGTGCGTCCATGCCGCGGTCACTGCGGGACCAGGGGACCTGCGAGCTCAGGGATGCAGGGTGTGCACAGACAGCCCGCACCGAAGGGATGGGATCAGCCCAAGCCACTGGGCTCGGGAGCATCAAACACTGCAGGAGCTGCTGGGCACACAGGAAGGACCAAGGCACAGAGGGCCCCCTTCTCCCAGGGCCGCTGCAGGACGCTGGTCCCTGTCCCTTGCTCACCATCTGTTTGTGCAGGAAGGGTTTGGACGCTTACTCGGAATTAATCACAGGTATGAAATGAATGTGGATCAATTAAAGCGGATCCAATCTTTTTAACTTGCTCACTCCCGAAGCAAATTACCTGGAAAAGGCCACTGAAAACCCGAGTGAAGGGAGTTCAACCAGTCCCCTTCAACTGAGAGTCTGGGTGAATCTGTGCTGGTTCCCACAGGTAAACAAGCCCAAAACCTTGGTCAAAGATGCAGCCTGCCCCGAAAAGTGCTAACCTGCAGCCGTGCCTCCGAGCCAGCAGCCCTGCAGGAAGATCAGTGTCAGCCTCCTCATCTACAAGAGCATCGGATATAAAGCCAGAGGTAAAACACCACCAGTATGGGACTGGGGATATTGGAACACGGGAATGACACAGAGAAGAGGTGAAGGACCACAGGCTGGGGAAAGCATGTCAAAACACAGAGAGGGGCGAGGTGGGATGTGCCACTGCACCCGTGTTGTCGCGAGGCGCCCATCCCGCACAGATGCCGGGGCTGGGGGGGTCCCGTGGACCTTGCTGGGTGCTCAGAGCAGGAGATGGAAGCTGTGGGCATGCAGAGGCGAGGAGCGGTTGGATTCTGCTCCGTATTTCATGTGGATTAGGGTGAGCCCCGGCACTGCGGGCATGAGGCTGTGGGGGTATCAAAGGGAGCTGAAGGGAGGCTGCAGACACAGCGGCTGCCTCCGCCAGCTCCCGCCTGTCCCTATGGATACCCTGAGCCACTGCCTCTGCCAACACCAGCTTTGATCCCCCAGGGAAAGGGGCCAGAACCCTTCCCTGCTCGCCTGACTCACAGCTTCTGATTACCCTGCGGAGCAGGAACGCTCCTCACAAGGCTCTGTTAGACCCAGGATCATCCGTCCTCCTTCCTCCCCTCAGCACCGCTTCCCTGCGCCCTTGCTCTCCACAGGGCAGGGCTGGCTCTGATTTATGCCACTGCAAACCGGGACTTACCCCCTGCAGCCCAGAGACTGAGGCTGCATCTGCTCGGAGAAGCTGTGGCTGCCCCATCCCTGGCAGTGCTCAAGGCCAGGTTGGACACAGGGGCTTGGAGCAAGGTGCTCCAGTGGAAGGGGTCCCTGCCCTAAGGTCCCTTCCAACCCAAACCACCTGGGATTCTGTGGTTTGTGTGATTTGTCCCGAGGACAGACCATGTTGGAGCTGGCTTGGGGCAAAGTCCTGCCGCAGACAGGAGCTGCTGCTGAATGCCACCAGCTCTCATCAAAGCCAATGGGAGACACCAGGATGTGACACCTCAATACCTGCAGTATGGGGAGGAATGTGTGGATGGGGGAGCCCAGGAGTGGAGGAAGGAGACTCCCTCCTTCAGCCTTAGTGCGAAGCTGGAGCAGCCATGGAGAAGGTTCCCATCTCTGAGATCAGACCCAACCCAGAGCCCAGCCTGGCCTGCTCTATCCCAGGGCCTTTCTTCCTCCTCTGCCTCTGCAGCTGAGCAGCCTCCATGGCTGAGGAAAGGCTGCCTAGGGCAGGGCTGTGTGGGATGAGCCGCACTCAGCACCCGAGGCAGCCCATGGGCAGCCCTGTCCCGTGTGCGCCGTCACACCGCTCCGCTCCCCGTGACGGACGTGTCCCACCTGGAAGCCGTTTGCTTCCCCATCTGTTCTGCTGCTCTCGGGCCTTGTTTTATCGGCCCCTGCGGATGAGGTCCGGAGAATGTCGGGGTGGAGGGAACAGAGCAGGGATTTCCCATCACAGCAGCAGCCCAGGAGGCAGGTTTGTACCCAGGAGAAAGCCTTGGCCCATTGCAGGAGCGGGAGCAGCTCTGCACCTACTGCTGGAGCATCTCATAGAACCACATCACAGCCTGGTGTGGGCTGGAAGGGACCTGAGAGCTCATCCAGCCTCTGCATCACCCTCCTCAGGGTGACCATTCCCAGGCACCAGAGAGCAGGATCTGCAGCCTTTGGGGCCCTGGGAGTGCTGATAACCGGTGACTGCCGATGCTGGAGGGTAAAGACAAAGGGCATTCCCTGAGGAGCTGGATGAGGTGGTGAAGGAAAACCAAGGATGTGCTGAGCTCGGCTGTGATTCGCACTCTGCCTGGGCTGTCCGGGGTCACCGGCTCCCCGGGAGAGGAAAGGTCCCTGCAGGCAAGGCTCCTGCCATGCAGGCAGCCCAGCGGCACGGTCAGAGGTCCCGGGTGAGGGAGGTGAGATGTGAAGCAAGGGGGAAGAGAAGAGCTCCGGGCTCTGCTACCAACTTTCTGCACCGCTGAAGCGAAGTCATCTCTGCACTTTGATTTCTCCATCCGGAAAAGGAACACCCCTTCGAGAGCTAAAACCAGGGCCCTCTCCAGACCCGGCAGCTCCCACGAGGTCCAAACCTCACCACAAACCCAGCGAGAGGGCAACGTGCACATAAACCCCCTCCTCATCCCCCCCAGCACCACCAAAGTGATCTGTCCCCCTCCACCAGAGGGTACCTCGAGTTGGAAGGGACCCATCAACACCATCAAGTCCAACTCCTTCAGGCTGAAGCCTTTGGCTACTTCAGGAGCAAACCATAAGCCCAGAGCACGGGACTGGCAGATGCTGCTTGTGCTCATTTGCCATTCAAGGGCGCAGGAAGAACCGTGACCAACAAACACCTCATGAAAGCAGAACAGAGAAGTCTCCTCTCCAAGCCCTGGGTTTGCACAGCAGAGACAAGAAGCCCAGGCTCGGCCATCCCAGAGCAGAGGTTCCCCAAGCACCCAGGCCTTAGCCTTGCACCATGTTATCCCCACAGCTTCTGCACATCTAATTAAGGGCTCAAGTCTAATTATAGCCCTGATAGCTTGCTAGGGTGTGAGGGGAGCTGTGCGTGGGTCGGAGCAGGGCAGGATGAAGGGATGCTGCTCAGGCCAGCCTGGAGGGATAAAGAGGAGCATCGGGAGCTGCAGGGGTGAGAGGAGCCAGCTCTAAATGAGGTTGCCTCATCTCCTTTCAAGCAGGTTTGCTGGCAGACAACCCCTCCCCGCCGGTGCCAGGCACTTACATCAGGGCCTCAGCCCCTGCTTGCAGCCAAAGCTTCCAGCACTTGTGGCTGCAGGGTGAGGGGAAGAAGAGCTTGAACGTGACCCGAGTGATGCTGAGGGCACCGACAGGAGGGAGCTGTCGGGAGGAGGCAGCAGCAGGCGCATGACGTGATGGCCAGGAGCGCTCCAGCCTTGCTCCTGCAGCAGCAACGCTACCCCTGGATGAATTGGGTCCGACTTTATCAGGTTTCCAAAGGGCCGTCAGTGCTCTGCCTGCTTGCCCATGCACAGCCACCTCGGCACGACGTGCTCCCGTCTGTGCCTCCAGCATCGCCTCTGCCTTGATGTGCCCACAGGAGACAGCAGAGCCTGCCCCAGCCTGCAGGGAGGCTGCTGTTTGCAGAAGGGATGTGCCCTGTTCAGCTGATGGAGGCGTTAACCCTAAACCTCCCTGCTCCCTGGGACCTGCACCCCAGGAGCAGTGGGGTCCAGGAGCCAGGGCTGGTTCCCTGGAGCATCAGGGATGGAGTCCCTGGTGCTCCCCTGCTCCTGGTGGAGGTGTCAGCCTGGAGAGGCTCAACCACCTTCATTGTGGGCAGGCAGGAGGAGATCCCACACTTCCCCACTCTCCACCTTAACCACGGATGTGTCATTCCTCTCCGTTTTGTGCAAACACCTTTCCCTCCTAATAAGGCTTTCCTTATGCAAGTATAAATCTCTGCAGATCAGATTTAATGACACGGTGTTAATGCTGCTGGATAGGGGGAAAGCAGCACAGACACGGGGGCAGTAACTTTCCACAGACCCTGAGGGCTGGAGTGGAGCTGTTTGCAGGCAGCACTGAGCCCAGATGCTCCTGAGCAGCCCCAGCCCGGCGCAGGGGCCCGGAGGCTCCTCACCTTCATTCCTCTGGTTGTTGAGCTGGTTGAACTGCTCCGTGAACTCCGTCAGCGACTCCTCGATGGTCTCTGTGCGGGGAACCGAGAGCGAAAACCTCCGCTTGAAGTTCTTCATCTTGTTCATCGTGGCTCGTGCTGCGAGGGATGGCAGAGCCCTGCGGGGAATGGGACAGAGCAGGGTGAGAGGCTGGAGGCAGGTACCAGTGGTGAGCCCAGAGCAGGGCTGTGCACACTCCACCAGCTGCACCAATACAGGCTGCGCCTTACAGCATCCTCGGAAACTCCAGGAAAGAGGGGAAAAGCAGGGCAGAAATAGAAGGAAAGCAGTGCAGAGTGAACAGCGATGGGCAAGTTCAATCCCCTTGATTGCCACAGCAAGGGGAGATGCTTCCGGCTCTCAGGCTCCCGAATGACTCATCTTGTAGAGGCTTTAGAATGGCCTCAGCCACGGATCTGATTAAAGCAATAAAACCCTTAAAGGAAGAACCCCCCCCCGGGGACACATGGCAAAGGGTGCGGAGCTGAGCAGCCACGGGAGCAGGCTGAGGGAGCCACACGTGGCTTTGCCTTTCCTGCTGTGGCTCCTGCCAGGCCGGTCTGAGCCAAGGAGCCACAGCTCTGCCCCTTCCAGTCCCAGGCCCCGGGAGGTTTGGGCCTGTCCCCCTCCCCTTCCCAAGCCGATGAGCACAGGGGTGGTCCTCCACCAGCCTTTATCACCCCAATCCTCTAACCTGTCTGGCAGGGGATTTTCCACTCACACCACTGGGATCCTTTAATGCTCCTCTCAGCCACCGGCCCAGGGGGGATCTTAAGGGGAAAGTCACAGAATCCCAGCCTGGTTTGGGTTGAAGGGACCCCAAAGCTCCTCCAGCTCCAACCCCTGCCACGGGCAGGGACCCCTTCCACTGGAGCAGCTTGCTCCAAGCCCCTGTGTCCAACCTGCCCTTGAACACTGCCAGGGATGGGGCAGCCACAGCTTCTCTGGGCACCCTGTGCCAGCGCCCCACATCATCCCTGGGTACCAAACAAGCACCAAAAGCTACACAAGATTGGTCCCTTCCTACACACACCCTGCAGCTCCTCCTGGAGCAGGTCACCCCCTGCTCCTGGCTGCTCCTGCTACAGCTGAGCAGCCAAATTCCCTGCCTCTGCTACCCCTGGGCTTATCAGCACAAAGTGATCACATTCCAGACTGATGCGATCAGACACAGCATCCGGGAGCTGCTGCATCGCGTCGCCAGGGCAACGGGAACACTTGGCTTGACATGCCTGCATCTGAAAGCTTAAAAGATTATCTGTCAGCAATAAAACCACTCTGTTTGGGTGTCTGCCAGGCTCTGCTGTGAGGCATGGCACCCTGCTGTGGGTGCAATCCCCGAGGATCCCGGGGATTCACCTGAACCCTGGGACTCGCATCCCTCAACCATCCCCATTCATCCCCCACCTTTAATGCTGCAAAAGCCTGGCCAGCAATGCTTGTGTACCTGGAATGAGGGCTGGGGTGTCTGCCCGGGGGTGGGAAGGGAGGCTGGAGGCCGCTTTCAGTTGCAAAGTGAGGCAGGAGGATGCCAGACACATCCACTTGAGGCTTCAGACACCGCAATGTTTCCTGGGCACTACAGACACAAAGATGCTGGCAGCAGTGCATTAGGCATTAACAAAGTCTCCATGCTGGTGCTTTCCTCATGGCCAAGGGTAAAGTCTAAAGAATAAAATCCCTGATGCTCGCAGCAGGCACATCAGAGGCTCAAACAAAAGCCAATCCACAATGCTCAGACAAGTCCCCAGTGACTGTTCTTTCAGAAAGGAGCATAAGCAAGTTTCCACCCATCTCTGCACTCTGGTAGCATCCTGAGAGGCTTTTGCCCATGTCCATAGCACAGTTCAAGGGCACACAGCAGCAAGCACTGCAATGACCTGACTTCAAATCCCCCTAAAGGTACCAGCCTGCCTTCACCTGGAACAGGCAGAGAAGAAAGAGCTGCATGAGATCCCCCTCGCCAGTCCCTCAAGATGCTTAAATCACAGCTCAGAGAGGAAGGGAGAGGTTTAGCAAAGCTGTGCACCCCTAACAGTGGGTAAAAGAGTATCTAGGATGGATCCCAAACCCGCTCCGTACTCATTGTCTCTTTGGGTGCATCCCTTTAGCAGCTAAAGGGAGCATCCCAGCCCTCTCCTACAGGGTGGGAAGGAAGACTTGCTCGCGGCTGCCTCTTGTTCCCCCCCATTTAGTGTAGGAAATGGAGGCATTTATTGACCTTCCAAGAGAAAGGGACACTTGCAAAGTGAAGCAGCGACATCGCTTGGTTTCCAGGCTGCGGGGTCTCGAAGGGAATCGCAGCAAGCCCTCAGCAGCAGTCATCCAGGATGGAAGAAGCTGGCTGCTTAACAACAGGCAGGAACACGACGTTGCACGGCAGGACACGAGGGGAAGAAGCAGTCTGAGGTGGCAACAGGGAATTTAGGCATCAGTAGGCAAAAATGAAATCACTCCGGTTGGGATTTGGCCAAGGCCCAGGGATTAAAGCCAGAGTGTGAATGATCTGCACTTGCTGTAATACAGTCAGAGTAAATACTTGGCTGAAACACTTCAAAGAGCCCAAAGCTGAATCCCATCAGGAAAACCCATCACATGCCCAAGACAAGATGTTAACGATTCCTTAAACACTGCGTTTGAAGCTGTAGTTGCTGCACTGGCAATAACCACACTCTCTATTTCACAGTGAACTATTCCCAGAGGCGTTGGGGCTGGGACTACCCACATGAATCTCTTGCATTTGTAGAGCAAACCCCTGCTCTCTGCTGTGGAACTCAAGAGGCAGGTATTTTAGGCACAGACAAACCATCATCAGTGTCTGAAGCTGCCCCTTTCTCCCTCAGCACATTGCAGGGGCTCGGAAAGGCTTTCAAGCAGTAACCACTTTATTGCTTTCCACAGATAAGTGGCTCCATTTTTTTCCTTCCCATTACAAGAGACTCCTGCCCCCCTTTCCCAGCTGAAAGGGTGGGAGGCTTGGAGGGCCTGGGATGCTTGTTTCAAACGCAGAGGTTCGCAGTTGTGTTTACAAGGCAAAATGAACAGCCCTATTCAGCAGCTGCAGCTCCCGCTCCCGGCTCTGAGGCAGCACGGATTCACTCCTGCGAGCGGCAGAGAAAGGATGGATCCTGCTCAGGGAGCCCTGTTTGCTCTGCAAACACAGCCCTCGAGCATCGCCGCGTGTGGCTACGGGGCTACATAAACAAGGAGTCGCAGCTCCAGTTGAATCATGCCCCTCCTCACATCGCAAGGCTGGAGACCCCTAAAGGGGCTCCAGGAAACCTGGAGGGGGGCTTTGGGCAAGGAGGAATGGCTTTAACCTGCTAGAGGGGAGACTGAGATGAGCTCTCAGGCAGAAGCTCTTCCCTGTGAGGGTGCTGAGGCGCTGGCACAGGGTGCCCAGAGAAGCTGTGGCTGCCCCATCCCTGGCAGTGTTCAGGGCCAGGTTGGACACAGGGGCTCCATCCATAGAGCACCCTCCTGTGCACGCCCCAGCTCCTCCAATGCCCCAGATTGCCCCAACAGGGCCAGAGCCGTGTCCTGGGGATGGGCACTGAGGGGATGGGGAGAGGTCTGAGGCTGCTCTGGGAAGCCAGAGGGAATTCCAGCACTTGGGATGACTCTCACATAGACCAGGGCCCAGGCAGCAGCTGGGAATCCCGGCAGGGCAAGGGCAGGAGGGCAGGGAAGGATGTCAGCCCCTGGCCACCGAGTGACCGCCTCCGTGGCTGCTCAGCTGTCGGGATGGAATCCCCCCCGGGTACCAAGCTCCCAGCTGGCCCCTGCCCGGCACAGATGATGCAGAGCACAGTCTGAGCGCTCGGGGTAGGTTGGTTCCGATGGGCAGAGATGCAGCAAGGAGCAGCACGGCCCTGCAGAGTGGGGGCCCCATCCTGCGCAGGCTCTGGGGTGAGCAGCGATGTGCCCATCACGCAGAAGTTTGCAGCAATTCCTCTCGGCAGAAGGTGAGGGATGAGGGCAGAGCCAGGCCAGCTCTCTCCTCCCTCCACATCTGCACATCAGGCTCAGCTCTGAGCCTGACATTTCCCTCCTATGAGTGAGCAAAGCCCCTGCCAGGAGGTCAGGATCCTGCAGGAAGTGAGGGCAGTCGATTCCTATTAATGTACAGGAGCCCTGCAGCAAACAGCAAGACCTCAGGGCAGGGACTGCAGCGGGCAGGAGCCTGGCTGCCCCTCTGGCTCCAGCATCCCTCGGTTTTACCAGCTATAAATCAGGGATGATGACACATCCTTCCTCCCCTCCAACCCAGCTTGTTGGTGCTTCCCTCACCTGGGAGACCTGGTTCATGGGTGTACAGCACCCAGCACTGCGGGGTTCCCAACCCTCACCTGCAGCATTGCAACTACCCCTTGGAAAGTTAAGAGACGCTCATGGAGTGGTTTGGGTTGAAGGATCTTAAAGCTCATCCAGTCATGGATGCCACGGGCAGGGACACCTTCCACTACGCCAGGTCGCTCCAAGCCTTGGAGCACATCCAGATCTCAGCCTCAAGCAGACACGAGGATCACCTGGGAATGGTGAATCCATGGAAAACTTCCTGCCAGGCCAGCCTTTGGAGACGCCCCAAGCTGTGCTCAATGCACGGCTGAGTGTGAGGGAAAGCTGCTCTGGTAGATGCACATCTCTCCCCTCACTTGTCCTGGTGCTGACAATGAGCCCAGTAAAGGAGCACACAAAGGAGGTTTGTTCTGCCTTTGTGTATTTTGCCTTTCTCTGGGTCCACAGCCCAGTGCGGAGCAGCCAGCAGTTCTCCCTTGGCTCTTCCCTTCCCGGCTCTTGGTGAGATCAGGGCAGCGAGGAAGGCATTAAAATGACGGTCATTATTCCAAACACTGGGCACTTATTCCTCAGGCGATGCTAACCTGGTGTCCAGGGTTTGGCTGGAAGAACAATGCACTGCTGACAGCAGCTACACCCCAGTCCTGCTGGGAGCTCAGCGCTCCCATTGTCTGCTGCACTGGGCCACCCTGGAGGTGCTCATGTCTGTTCCTACGGCACATTCCCCCTCTCCAGGACCCCTGTAGATCCCCAGCTCCAGCCCAGCCACCACGGCTGCTCTGCACCATTAAGGGCAGCAGCAGGAAACAGCTTTGTCCC